TAAAAACAGTTCAGGGGTTCCTCAAAAAGCTAAAATTCCACTCCTGGGTATATAACCAAAAGAACTGAAAACACGGACTTGAACAGATAATTATTTGCCAACGTTCACCGCAGCATTATTCACAATAGCCAAAAGGTGTACAACATAAGTGTACATCAACAGATGAAGTGAATAAACAAAATGCAATACACACGAACAATGGAATATTATTCAGCCAGGAAAGAAAAAAAGTTCCTATACTTGTTACAATACAGACGAACCTTGAAATCATTATGCTAAGTTAAGGCAGACACAAAAGGACAAATATTGCTATAATTCCACTGATATGAAATATTTACAATCAAATTTATACAGACAGAAAGTAGATTAGCAGTTACCATGGGAAGGTGGGAGGAAGGAATGAGTAGTTACTGCTTAAAGGTTATAAAGTTTCTGCTTGGAGTGATGAAAATGTTTTGGAAATAGTGATGACTGCACAACCGTTTTAAAATGGTTAAAATAGGGCCAGGCATGATGGCTCCACACCTGTAATCCTAGCACTCTGGGAGGCTGAGGCAGGAGGATCACTTGAGCACAGGAGTTTGAGACCAGCCTAAGCAAGAGTGAGACCCCATCTCTACAAATAGTAGAAAAATCAGCCAGGCGTGATGGTCTGTGCCTATAGTCCCAGCTACTCAGGAGGCTGAGGCAGGAAGATCACTTAAGCCCAGGAGTTTGAGGTTGCAGTGAGCTACAATGATGCCACTAGCTAGGGCAACAGAGTGAGACTCTGTCTCCAAAAAATAAAAATAAAAAAATAGATAAATGGTTAAAATGTCAAATTTCATGTTATGTATAATTATCACAATAAAAAAGGGATATTCTCAAAATGCCCCAGCATCATTTGTTGAATTCCTACACTGAATTTCTTTTGCATTTTTGTCAAAAAATCAGTTTGGCATGTGTCTTAGTTCAGGCTGCCAGGGCAAAACACCACAGACTGAGTGCCTTAAACAACAAATTTATTTTCTTACTGTTTTGGAGGCTAGAAGTCTGAGATCAAGATACCAGCACAGTCAGGCCCTGGTGAGGGCCATCCTTCTGGGTTGCAGACAGTCATTGTGTTCTCACGAGGACATGGACACAGAGCAATCTCCCTCTCTTCCTCTTACTATAAGGCCACTAATACCAACATAAGAGCCCCACTTGCATGACCTAATCTGACTCTCATTCCTCCCAAAGGCTCTATCTCCAAATATTATCAAACTGGAGGTGAGGGCTCCAACATAATTTTAGGACACACAGTCTATAATTTCTAGGTTTTCTATTCTTTTCCATTGTTCCATGTGAACATTGCATTAATGTGTATATTCCACCAATACCATGTTTCCTTGATTAACGTAGCTATACACAGTAGTACCCTCTTATCTGAGGGGGATCCGTTCCACAACCCCCAGTGGATGTGGGAAACTGCGGATAGTACCAGCCCTACAATACTATGTTTTTGCCTCTATACATACCTATGATAAAGTTAAATTTATAAATTAGGCACACTAAGAGATTAACAACAATAACTAGTAACAAAATAGAACAATTATAACAACATGCCAGCATCACTACTCTTGTACTTTAGGGCCATTAAGCAAAATAAGGGTTACCTGAACACTAGCACTGCGATACCTTGGCAGCTGACTTGATAACCAAGTGACTAATAAGCAGGTAGCATATACAGCCTGGATATACTAGACAGGGAAGATGCACAACCTGGGTTGATTGACGTCCCGGATGGAAAAGGGCTGGATGGTGCAAAATCTCATCATGCTACTCGGAATGGTGTGCAATTTAAAACTTATTAATTGTTTATGTCTGGAATATCCCTTTCTACTGCTTTTGAACTGCAGCTGACCTTGGGCAACTGAAATTGCAGAAAGCAAAATCGTAGATAAGGGGGGACTGTTATAATCCTCCTACTTCACTACTCTCTTTTTCAAAATTGTTTCAGATATATCTAGTTCTTTTGCTTATAATTTATACAAATTTTGGAATAATGTTATTTAGGTCTAAAAAACCTTACTGGAATTTTGACAGGAATGCCATTAGACCTACAGATCAATTTGGAGAGAACTGACATATTTACTATGTTGATTCTTTCAATCCATAAAGTGACCATGTGTCTTCATTTACTTAGGTATTCTTTTATTTCTTTCATCAGCATTTTGTCATTTTCAGCATAAAGGTCCTATCCATATTTTAATATTTTCTTAAATTTATACACCAAAGTATTTTATTTTATATGTAATAATTTATATGGAAAAAGTGGTGTCTCCATGTGTTCTTTGTAAGTGGAGAGAAATGGACTGATTATATGTGTATTCATTTTATATCCTGAAACTTTGTGGAAATCATTCACTGGTTCTGGGAGGTTTTCTAAAATAAGATTCCTTAGCATTTTCTATATATGGAATTACTTCATCAAGGGGAAATATGGACAGTTTTATTTCTCCTCTCTCAGTCTATACACATTCTATTTTTTTTTCTTGCCTTACTGTGTTTGTCAGAAGTTACAGTACTATACTGAAGAAGAATGGTAAGAGCAAACATCCTTCACTTGTCCCCAGATCTATAGGGAAAGCATTCAGTGTTTCACAGGGAAACCATTCAGTAAATATGATATTTGCTATGGATATTTTTTGTAGATGTTCTTTTATCAAGTTGAGGAAGTTCCTCTTCATTTCTAGTTTGCAGAGTTATCATCACAGATGGATACTGAATTTTATCATATGTCCGTGTCTTCCTCCTCTATTGTCTGAACACATTGTGTAAAATCATCATTAATTCTTGTTTAAATGTTTGGTAGAATACTTTAGTGAAAACTACAGTTCTCTTGTGCTGGAAGATTGCTTTTTTTAGAGCTTTTTATTGAAAATTTAATTTCTTTGATTCAAGTTATCTATGTCAACCTTTATTACAATCTATGGGACCATTCAAATTATCTATATTGCCTTGACTGACTTTTGATAGTGCTGTGGCTCCTGAAGAACCAGTACACTTCTTCTATGTTGTGAAATTTATGAGCATAAAGTTGTTGACAATATTGCCTTATTATCCTCTGAATGGATGCTGGTGTGATATTCCCTGTTTCTTTCCTGATATTGGTGTTGTCTTTTTCATATTTTTGTCAATATTGCTAGCGGTTTATCAATTTTACTGATTTTTTTCAAAGAACCACGTGTTTCATTAGTTTTCTCTACTATTCTCCTATTTCCATTTTCACTGATTTCTGCTCTTAGCTTTATTTTCTTCCTTCTGCTTGTGGAGATTTTATTTTGCTCTTTTCTAGTTAGAAAGTTAATTACACGTTGACATCTTTCTTCTTTTCTAATGTTAGCACTTAGGGCTATAAATTTCCCTATCGTAAAATTAGCTATTTCCCACATACATTGATATGGTGTGTCTTTATTTTCACTCAGTTCTATGCATTTTTAAAATTTCTTTTGATGTGCTTCTTTGATCCATGCACTCACTATTTAGAAGTTTGTTGTTTAATTTTCAAGTGAGTGAATATTTTTCTATCATCTTTCTATTACTGAATCATAATTTGATTTTATTATGGCCAGAAAACATCCTCAGTATGACTTCAGTTCTTTTAAAATTGTTGAAAATCCTAAAGACTCCTCCAAAAGACTCCTGGAATTGATAAATAAATTCAGTGAGTCTGAGGTAACAAAATTAATGTATACAAATCAGTAGCATTTCTATACACTAATAATAGTCAAGCTGAGAGTCAAATCAAGAGCCTAATATCATTTACAATAGCTGCAAAGAAAATATCTAGGAATATACTTAATCAAGGAGGTGAAAGATCTCTACAAGGAGAATTACAAAACACTGATGAAAGAAATCATAGATGACACAAATGGAAAAACTTCCCATGCTCATGGTTTGGAAGAATCAATATTATTAAAAGGTACATACTGCCCAAAGTGTTTACAGATTCAATGCAATTCCCATTAAAATACCCAACATCATTTTTCACAGAACTAGAAAAAAACAATTCCAAATTTCATATGGAATCAAAAAAGAGCCCAAATAGCCAAAGCAATCCTAAGCAAAAAGAACAAATCTGTAGGCATCACATTACCGGACTTCAAATTATACGACAAGGCTATGGTAACCAAAACAACATGATATTGGTATAAAGGTAGACAAACAGACCAATGGAACAGAATAGAGAACCCTGAAATAAAACCATATAGCTACAACCAACTGATTTTCAACAAACAGACAAAAACATACACTGGGGAAAGGACGCCCCTGATTCAATAAATGATGCTGGGAATACTGGAGAGCCACACGTAGATGAATGAAACTGGATCCTTATCTTTCACCATATACAAAAATTAACAAGATGGATTAAAGACTTAAATATAAGACCTGAGACCATAAAAATCCTAGAAGGTAAGAAAAAACTCTTCTGGACACTGGCCTAGGCAAAGAATTTATGAATAAGACTCCAAAAGCAAATACAGGAACAACAAAAATAAATAAATGGGACTTAATTAAATTAAAAAGTTTCTGCACAGCAAAGGAAAAAAATCAATTGAATAGGCAACCTACAGAACAGGAGAAAATATTCACGAACTATACATCTGGCAAAGGACTAATATACAGAATCTAAAAAGAATTCAAACAAATCACAAGAAAAAAGCAAATAACCCCAACCAAAAGTGGATAAAAGACAGGAACAAACTGTTTTCAAAAGAAGATATACAAATGGCCAATGAACATATGAAAAAAACGCTCAACATCATGAATCATCAAGGAAATGCAAATTAAAACCACAATGAGATACCACCTTATCCCTGTCAAAATGAACATTATTAGAAAGTCAACAAACAACAGCTATTGGTGTGTATGAGATGAAAAGAGAATGCTTATACCCTCTTGGTGGGAATGTAAGCTAGTACAACCTCTATGGAAAACAGTATGGAGATTCCTCAAAGAACTAAAAGTACACCTACCATTTGATCCCACAGTCCCACCAGGATTTCTACCTAAAAGAAAAGAAGTCATCATATCAAAGTGACATCTGCACCCGAATGTTTACTGCAGCACAATTCACAATTGCAAAGATATGGAATCAACTTAAGTACCCATCAACTGATAAATCGATAAAGAAAATATGGTGTGTGTATACATACATACACACACACACACACACACACACATCCCATGGAGTACTACTCAGCCATAAAAAGTAATGAAATAATATCTTCTGTCATAACTTGGATGGAACTGGAGACCATTATCCTAAGTGAAGTATCTCAGGAATGGAAAAACAAATAGCACATGTTCTCACTTGTAAGCAGGAAGTAAACAATGGGTATATACGGTTATAAAGTGATATAACAGACACTGGAAACTAAAAAGCAGGGAGGGAGAGCAGAGGCTGAAGGATAAAACACTACCTATCGAGTACAATCTATACTACTCTGGTGACAGGTACACTGAAAGCCCTGACTTCAGCATAATACAATTCATCTACGTAATTAAAAACACTTGTACCCCCTGAATCCACTGAATTTTTTTAAAAACTGAATTTTTAAAAATAAATAAATCCGTTGAGGTTTCTTTATGGCCCAGGATGTGCTCTATCTTTTGGAATGTTCCATGGGCACTTGAGAAAAAAGTGTATACTATTGTTATGGGGCACTGTACTATAAATTTTGCTTCAATCCTTTTGGTTGATGTTTCATGTACTTTGAGGTTCTTGTTTGGTGGAGACACATTTAGGATCATTGCATTTTTGCTGGATTGATCCTTTTACAATTATATAATGTTCTTCCTTTTGTCTAATAATTTTCTTTACTCTGGAGTCTGCTTAATCTGCTATTAATAGGGCCATTCTTACTTTGTTTTGATTAATGTTTGTATGGTATATCTTTCTCTATTTTTTATCGTCCTATGTTGTTAGCTATGTTATGAGTTTCCTATAGATAACATTTTGAAATCATGTTTTTTACTTTATCAACACTGCGAATTTCTATTTTAATTAGTGTACTTTGATCATTTACATTTAAGGTAAATATTGCTCTGTTAGGCTGCTATTTGTTTTCTCAGTTTCTCATTCATCTGTTCCTCTTTTCTTACTTTCCTATTGGTTACCTGAATATTTTTTCAGAGTCTTTCTTGGTTTATTTATAGTGTTTCTAAGTATACCACTTTTCATAGTTTTCTTAGTAGTTGTTCTAGGTATTAAACTATACATATGTAACTTACCACAGTTACCACTGTGATAAGCATCAATATTTTACCACTTCAAGTGAAATGTATAAATGTATAAAGCTTAACTCCATTTAGATCCCTTAATCCTCCCAACTTTTTAAATATAATTTTCTTAAGTATGCCTCTACATAGAGAATCAAATCATATAACTTTTGCTCTAACCATCAAATATGATTTCAGAAACTCATGAGAAAAATAATCTATATATTTATCCCTATTTTTGTCAACTTTCAATGTTTTTTCTTTTCTGCATTCCAAGCATTCTTGTGTTATTTCCTTTCTATTTAGAGAACTTCTTCTAGCCATTTATTAAAGGTAGGTTTGCCAGCAACATTTTCTCTTAGTTTTCCTTTCTAATAATGTCTTTAGTTCTCCTTGTTTCATGAATATATTTTCACAAGATACAGAGTTTTTACTTGATACTTTTCTTTCAGTACCTGAAAAAATACACTACTTCCTTTGGCCCCCACAGCTTCAGATGAGAATTCCACTGTCCTTCCTTGTAAGTTGTGTGCAGTTTCCCTCTGGCTACTCTGAAGACTTTTAGTTTTCAGAAATTTCATTGTGCTGTGCCTTCGGCGTGGATTTCTCTTATTTGATGTTACCTCAGATTCTTGAATGTGTAGTTTTGTCTTTTGCTGAATGTGGGGCCTTTTCAAGCATTATTTTTTCAAATACTTTAAATAACTGTCTCCTCCCCTTCTGGTACTCTGATGTTACAAATGTTGGTTCTTTTGTGATTGCCCCACTTTCTTTTTTTTTGAGACAGAGTCTCACTCTTTTGCCTAGGCTAGAGTGCCGTGGCGTCAGCCTAGCTCACAGCAACCTCAGACTCCTGCCTCAGTCTCCCGAGTAGCTGGGACTACAGGCATGCGCCACCATGCCCGGCTAATTTTTTCTATATATTTTTAGTTGTCCAATTAATTTCTTTCTAATTTTAGTAGAGACTGGGTCTTGCTCTTGCGCAGGCTGGTCTCGAACTCCTGAGCTCAAACAATCCACCCGCCTTGGCCTCCCAGAGTGCTAGGATTACAGGCGTGAGCCACCGCTCCCGGTCTCCACTTTCTAAATATTGAGAGAATCAAACTTCATCCCATTACCTCCACACCTTCCAACTCTGAGACACCATAACCACTCATAAGGAAAACTACTACAGTCCCTTAATGAGCCTCTATGCCCTTATCCCCTTTCCAATATTTTCCCTATAGAGGTGAGAACAATCTTATACAAACATAAATCAGACGTTGCTCATTTGCTGAAAATCTACCACTAAATCAATAATAATATGAACTTATTTAATAAGGCTTATGATACTCTTGCCTTAGGACTCTAGCTGCCTCCCTGACATCACCCTTTTCCCCTCCTCCTGCCAACACTCCCCTTCAGCCACTGTGACTTTTTTGTTATTCCTCAAAACCACTGGGCATATTCCTACCCAGGGCTGCCAGGTGCTGTTACCCCTGCTGAAAAGAGGCAGAATCCTCACAGCTCACAGTCATTTCATTCAAATTTCTGCCCTCATGTTGAACTCATTCAGATTTCCCCTGTTGTTCTTAAAGTAACATACTCTATTATCAATCTAACCTTGTTTAATTTCTTTGATAGTCTTTAACACCATAGAATGTTTAATACACACAAATATAAATATGAATTTATGTGTTAAGGGCCACTTTTATAAACTCATTTAAGGGTTTTTTGGTTTTTTTTTTACTACTATATCCTCAGCTCTTAGAAAATGACTGGCATATAGCAAATACTCAAAATTTACTTACTGAGTCAAAAACTGAGTGTATAAAAGCATGTCTGACAGCAAAAGAAATGCAGGATAATGGAGATAAAGTAGACAACTCAATTGCTTTGAAAAACAGAGAGCAAACAAGAAAAATAACAGTAAAGATGTGGCGGGCAAAGATTGCACTATAGGCAGGTATAAGAATGGTAAACATTAAAAAAAAAAATCAAAAAGGAGAATGTTTTTTGTGAGAGTGGTAATTGGAGGTTTGATTTTGAAATCAATATTCTCAGTTACTTCCAAGATTTAGGACCTCTAAAGAGATACTCTTGAAAAACATCTCACAGGTGACAACCCCTGAATAAACTACAGGGAAATAATAAATCCCCTGATATTAATCTGTACAGGTCACATTAACTCACCTGGGTAGCTCTGGCTTGAAAACTCTTCCTTGAGTATCCACGGTTCCTCTCCTTGCTCCAGCCTGAAGATCACCTCTGGTTTGGTAACACAATACCCTGTTAACAGGAAATAATTTAGGACTTAAACCAGGCAGCCTAGACTAAATGGCCACTGAAGGAAGGAGAAGCTTCTGGAGCTGCTCAGTCATGGGCCACCAGAACAATTCACTGGAGAGGTGAACATTAGTATCTTCTGGTGGACATAAGTGATCCATCTACACTCATTTTCTTAATCTTAAATATCATTAAACTACAGAGTGCCCATGGGCTTCGTGAGCAAAAGAATGAAAAACGCTATTTAGAATTACATAGTAAGCGGGCCTTACCTACTGAGACTAAGTTGCTGTAGTTCTCCAGCATCACGTCCCTATACAGAGACCTCTGACTAGGGTCCAGGTGCTCCCACTCCTCCTGGGTAAAGCCCACAGTCACATCCTTAAATGACAGTGATCCCTGGAATTTCTGTTCAATCTGAAATATTTAGAATTAGGTGACATGGAAAGAGACATGTAGGACTAATCTTTACCATGATTATTGTTCACAGATTACCAAAATGGTTTACAAAACATTTGTATTGATTTATACTAGTACTCTGGGGAAAAAGAGAAATCATAACAAGTATTCTGCCATTGCATTAAGCTATTGATTCATGAAAAAAAATTATCAAGTCCCCACAATGTACCTGGAACAATTATACTTATTAGAACATCAAGAAACATACAACCTGGAAGAAAATACATGCAGTAATATGTTACGAGTACTAAGGTGAAAGTACACACTAGGCTAATATAATAAAGAAGGAAAAAAATCAGTTCTATTTTGAGCTTCACTGAGGGAATACAGCCGTTGGTTGAATTTTTACTACACTGTGTTCTTCCTAAGCACAGCACCACCACACAAGCAAAGGCAGGTGGTGGCCTCTAACACACTCAAGAAATCAGCAAAAGGGCAAAAAGCACAGCAGATGAGAATATGCCCCAGTGCTATTATTTAGGGAATGGGCTACAGAATAATCTAAGGCTAACAGTCTCTAAAGTATTTGATCATCTACCATTTTCAAGAATATTATTAAGCACTACAGTGTATATTTATAAATCATAGAAATAAATTGTCAATACCTTTACTATGAATTTTAATTTAATTCTCATTTAGATTTAAAACTGTAGAACGTCAGCCCAATATTTTATTTCAATACATATTCTAGGTTCTAATCTTCAATTCAGGGACAATAATAAAGATGTACAGAAAATGGAAAGATTTAGAGTGTACAGAAGATATCAAATTGGATCATTCTGGACATTTCGTAGGTGTATGCTTCTTTTAGGGACCACTACTATGAAAAAGGAGAGCCAAGGAAGAGACATGAGCATATACTGAAATTATGCGACCAGGTATTTATTTATAGAACCAATTCTCTTGAGAAAGGGAAGGGACAGCTAAGAACGAAACAGCACCACTTACATCAAGTACTACAGCAGAAAGTGGGGTGCAAACAGGGCACTGACAATAAGAGACACAGCAACAAAACACGGTCACCAATTCACTGGGCTGAAAGGAAATGTTTCCTCAAGCTATCCACAGGAACAGCTGGGCAGATACCAGGGTCACAAAGCCAGCCAGGGAAATTTGGGGAAATTAGGGCAAAATAGATTGAACACAGTATTTCAGCAAGACAGGTCTTAAATACACTAATTTTGAAGCATAATACTGGAGGTCAAAAATGAAAATAAGCATTTCAGAAACACTAATAACCTGGTGGTGTTAGAAGCTCATCAATGCTAAATCGGAAGGTTATCAGAGAACTTAGAAAAGAAAATAATCAAGAATAGAACCTGAGGGAAAATCACGTTTTAACTGATTTGCACAGAAACAATAGGCCATGAAGACCATGAAGGAATTTTTGGAAAGGTGGAAATAAAAATAATAATGAATAGTTGTAAAAACTAAGAGATGACTATATGATCATATCAGTAGATGCAAAAAAGCTTGATAAAAACTCTTGGCAAATTAGGAATGGAAAGGAATTTCCTCAATGTGACAAAGGATGTCTACATATACCTACAGCAAATGTTATGTTTAGTGGTGAAATATGGAAAATGTTCAACTTAAAAAACAGGACTAAGATAAGGATACCTGCTATTTCCAACTTTATTCAACATTTTGTAAAGTTCTTACAGTAATAAGGTAAAACAATTATGTACACAGAAAATTCAATGAAAGTACAGTTTTAGAAACTGGTTGCAAGTTCAATAAAGCAAATCTTGGGTATCTCTATAATAATTAAGGTAGTGTGATACAGGCATAAGGATTTTCAAATATATCAACAGAAGAGAGAGCCCAAAAACACCTATATGGCTACTTGACTCATAACAAAGGTGACAAGAAAAGTCATTTCAATAAATGGTGATAGTTTAATGAGTATTTATTGCTATCTTAAGTGTAAGCAGAAACCCACCTTATACAGTGCATACGTCTAAATTTGCAAAGTAAATTTTTAGAAAATACTGTAAGAAATTTTTCTTCAAGACTTCAAGACAGGCAAAGATTTCTTAAACAGGACACAAAATATATTAACCATACTCTATTAAAATTAATAACCTGTCTTTATCAAAAGACAAGAAAAGAATAAAAGTGTAACCCACAGATTGGGAGAAGATATTCACAATACGTATATCAAAGAACTCAGATCCCTAACAGAGAAAGAAATGTATCCCTAACATAGAAGGAAATTATCCCATTTATCCCTAGCATAAAAAAAATTTCTAAGATTATTAAGAAAAAAAGGCAGGCCATCTCAATAACAAAACTGAGAGCAAGCATTTCAATAGAAACTATGGAAGTCAGAAGACTGGGCAAAAATTTGAACAGGCAATTGCAATGAAAAACAGCTAAAAAAATGCCACTAGAAAATTCTAAATCCTACAAAAATACTCTCTTAAAATAAATATATTTTTCAAATAAAGGTTGAAAAAACTGACAACAGTACACACAGACAACAAGAAATACCGTAGTTCTTCAAGCTGAAGGAAAATGATACTTGATAAAATCCCAAAACAGGATAGAATGAAGAAAAATGAAAAGGAAATTTAATGTACCTATAGTAATGTCTTTTGGAATCCACAGCACACATAAAAGGAAAGTATGTCACAACACTAGCAGAAAGCATAGTTTAGGGATCAATAAAATTAAACTTTTAAGATTCTTGCATCATCTGTGAAGTGGTAATGTACTAATTTAAGGTAGACAAAAATAAGTTAAGAATGATATTGTAAAACCCAGAGTAAACACTACAAAAATAAAGAACAGTAAACTAAAAAACTACTAGACATGAAAAATAATAAAACATCTGTCAAGAGGAAAATGGGTAAATTATACAATTTTCACGCAATGGAATACCACGTAGCAGTACAAGGAATGAACTACTGGTACACACAGCAATGCAGATGGATCTAACATATATTGAAATTAAGAAGCCTGATGCAAAAGTGATTGCATCACCGAGTCTCTGCATTTAAGTTTCAATAACAGATGACAAAAGAGTTGAAGTTTTTTTCTAGATGGTATGAAAGAGGAAGAATGGACAATCAAAAGATCTTGATAAGAAAACATTATTTAACATAGATATGTTAATAAAGAAATCTATTACTAATTGTAACAATTAGTAACATATTACATCAGAACTGAAAACCAGCAATCTACCAATTAAAAAAAAGAAATTTCACCAGCAGGACAAAAGAAACAGAGAAAGTATGATAAAAACTATAAAGTAAAACATACATCATGTCAATGATGTTATACTAAGATATATAGTAAACTAAAGTATAAAAAAAAAAAACGAAACACTAAGCTATAAAGGGGCATATGAATGTGCTAAATTTCTTATCAATGACAGAAATAATTGGTTTTAAAATAAAACCAGCTACAGGTCCTTACAAGAAAACATCAAGAAAATCTGAAAATAAAATGACAAATATCACATTTGCGACAGAAAATAAAAGCAAAATAAAAGCAGGATTGGCTATATTTACATCGGACAAGGTAACCCTGAGGACCAAACAAATTAAATGACAAAGGCAATTCTTCAAGGAGAAATCATTCATATATATCTTTTTTGGCACAAAATACAAAGAAGCCAAACTCATATGGAAAAAATTACTATAAGTGCCAGGATACTTTAATTAAAACACACACACTGAGGAAAATACATGAGGTAGGAAAACAAAAGAGAATATTATACGAAAGACCACAGGAAATAGACGTTTTCTTTAGAAACTTTAAAAACTACCGAAATTGATTTAGAAAACAATAGAAAATTGGTCTAAAGACCAATAACCAGAAATATGATTTAGTAGTCAACTGAAGATCTTGAAGATCTACCATGGAAAAATGACTAAGTTCCAATGTTTTTAGAATTAAATTATAGCCACCATTAAGTAAAACAACTCATGTAATTTAAATATTCCATACTGCTATGACTTGGATGTCTGTCGCCCAAACCTTACGTTAAAATTTGATCCCAATGTTGGAGGTGGGGCCTAATGGAAGGTGTTTGGGTCATGGGGGCAGATCCCTCCTGAATAGACTAACACCCTCCCTAGGGAAAGGGGTGTGAGTAAGTTCTCACTCTATTAGTTCCGGAAAGAGCTGATTGCTATAAAGAGCCTAGCAACTCCCCTGTCCCTTTCTTGCACCCTCTTTCACCATGTGATCTCTGTACAGCTGGCCTCCCTGCCCCTTCTACCAGAGGCCCTCACCAGATGCCCAATGCTGAACTTTTTCAGACATGAGAATTGTGAGCCAAATAAGCCTCTTTTCTTTATAAATTACCCACTCTCTGGTATTCTTTTCTAGCAAGACATAACAGACTAAGACACACACCCTAGGAAAATATTTATTAACTATCATAAACTTGATACCAAAACAAAATATTGGTTAAGAACAGTTCGTATTTAATTTTGATGCACATATTCTAAATAAAACATTAACAAACTCAATCCATTACAATCTATTAAGAATAATTCAGGCCAGGCGCGGTGGCTCAAGCCTGTAATCCTAGCTCTCTGGGAGGCCGAGGCGGGCGGATTGTTTGAGCTCAGGAGTTCAAAACCAGCCTGAGCAAGGGCGAGACCCCATCTCTACTAAAATTAGAAAGAAATTAATTGGACAACTAAAAATATATAGAAAAAATTAGCCGGGCATGGCGGCGCATGCCTGCAGTCCCAGCTACTTGGGAGGCTGAGGCAGGAGGATCGCTTGAGCAGGTTGCTGTGAGCTAGGATGACGCCACGGCACTCTAGCCCGGGCAACACAGCGAGACTCTGTCTCAAAAAAAAAACAAAGAATAATTCAGCATGAACAATGAGACACAGGCTGCAGAATAGCAGATTATCTTGTTCACAATATGTGCTCCAAACACTTAAAACAATCAATGGT